AACAAACAGTGAGTATGCTATTGTTTATAAAGCTTTTATTCAAGAGTCACACTTAAGTATTTTGATATATCATTGGAACACAAATCTTATGGTGGTGACACAGTGTTGACAAATTTGGCATTTCTTTCACAAAACCAATGGAGTTCATGTAGTAGCCATTTTATTTGTTTCTGTTGATGCTAGATGCTAATGGAACCTGCTTCAGGAGAATACAATTATCTAAATATTTCAAATAATTTCCTCAGAAATTGGAAGATGGTGTTGACATATCATGGCTGTGACACAGGAAATATTAACATTAGGATTTAAATATTCTAAAACTAAAACTTAGCAGAGCCTGTCTGACACTGATGTACTCTGCCGAGGTGAACTGTAGCAAGGGGGTCCTTTAGAGTGACAGCTACCCCTGATACTTTACCCCTGATTTTATTACATTTTATTGAATGTCTGACGGTGTTGACAAAAAGTGGGGACGCAACTTTAAAATCGTATTAAACATGCATGTGTCATTAAAAAACAACCTTGCTTTGATAGGAGATATTATTAAGTGTTGCTTTTGATAAAACACGCTCTTTTTCATCATTGAAAAAAATTTTTTTATCCATTTTATTGCATATGAATGCTTGAACCCTTCTCTGTGGACACACTGTTTTAGATGTAGTGAGGACATTAAGAAACACAGATTTGGTATAATAATGAGAAAATTAAATTGAAGGTGATAATTGTGTTAAAATACATTCTATTATTAATCCCTCATGACCTTTAAAATTGAAAATATTTGTATTTTTTAAAGCTAATAGCAGTTACCCTTGCTGGACCCGTTTTGTCCTATGTCTCAAGAATGACTGCGCTGCATATTTCAGAGTCGGTGCTGCTGCTGCTGCTTTGTGTTCTGCCACTACCGGGGAAACAGTTCTATTTCTACCAAACGCACCACCTGCTGGCAGAGAATTAATGTGCATTTTAAATAAGCCTGTTGTTTTGTTCAGAGTTAAGACCAATGCTAAAATCGACCCATGTTTTTACCCTGCAAACACGCAGAGCTTTAAATGTGAACTGGTGGATCAGTAGGATGTGCGATTATATGGTCTGCGATAATATCATAATTGCAGTTTTAATGATGTGCGATTTTACATAGAGTATATCGCAAAAAACAAACAAAACACCTACAGAGTGCACGCATGCATTACGTGACGAAGCTTAGTATGTTAACATAGGTTAAAGTGCGCGTACGCATTTAGAATGCATTCTTTCACTGCATGAATCAGTCTATTAAAATGCATTTAGAATGATCACATAATTCAAGATATGGTGTTAGAAAATGTATATATTTATATAATTTAATATAGTTAATATCACATGAAGAGTGCCGTTCGCATGATTACAAATGTGATATTGATTTTATACAACAGTTCAATAAACAAGAAGTTAATATTAAGAGACTTACGTTTATTAGACACCATATTTCCTGCTTTTGCTCAATTTCGCGAACAAAAACAATTCCGAACACAGGCACAGCACTGTTTTGCGTCTCTGAGCAACATGACGGTGTTTCGTTCCTGAATGATTCAATCGTTTAATGATTCGGTTCAATCGCAATGACTCGCTTATTAACAGTGACTTACTGCCACTTACTGGCAGTTCTAACTTCACATTTAAAGTATCTTTTCATTTTTAAAATAATTTCAAACATCAGTTTTGAATGTCTTATGTTTAAAATATCAAAAAAATTATGCATTTGTCACTGCAGTATTCCATGTATTCCAAGTATTCCATGTCCCTCAGAGCTGCATTAACATGTGTAAATACATCTAAATGCCACTTCAGATGCAGCTTCTGTGTTTCCTCGGCATTGCAAAGATGAATTTTGTTGATTCTGATTTCATTTGCTTGGTAACAGCCCAAATGCAAGAATTTGACTCAAAAGATGATGCACACTTTTAAAAAAATGGCTTAAAGGTAAAAATGCCCATAAAACTTACTGAAAAAGATACATTTCTATCACTGCTGCAAACTGACCACATAGCATATGAAGAATATCAAAAAATACAGGAGTCGGCTTGTCCACGGTAGTCCTTAAGATATCAGCACAATAACACACTCAGCAAAATATCGTCTCATTATCGTTATCTATAAAATCCTGCTTTTTACAGTAATTTTACAGTTTAAAATGGTACTATAGACATCGCCCTACCCCGCTCATATGGTATTAATTTTATTTGTGCAGGTCTTAAAAGGTCTTAAATTTGAGCTTAAAAATCCTGCAGAAACCCTGTATAAGTAACTTTTAACATCAACGTTCTACTGACTATGAGTAACTTTGAAAGTGCATGTCAACTCATTCTATGAACCCTAACTTAACACCTACTAATGCTGTACTAATATGCTAATGAGAGTTAGTTGACATGTAGTTGCAACGTTACTTATTATTAAAGTTATTACAACGTCTAAAGTGCACTGTCAAAATAAAGTGTAAAACTGCAGCTTTTTGCAATGTAAATACTGAATCCAAGTGAAATCAGTTCACGTTTAATGCATATTGACACCAATAAAATTCCTGTAAAAATTTAACTTTATAGGCAAAACGGGCAATTTTAAAATTATTTGGTCACTAAATTTTAAGGTCCAGTTATTGCTATTAACTAACCATTAATTATGTTTTTTTTTTTTCCTCAATGAACTCCTAATTTGCTGCTTATTAATAGTAAGGTAGGCCTAGTTGTTAAGTTTAGGTATTGGGTAGGATTAAGGATGTAGAATATGGTCATGCAGAATATGTGCTTTAACAGCCAATATGTTAAAAATAGGCATGCTAATAAGCAACTAGTTAATAGTGAGAATTGGTCCCTATGATAAAGTGTTACCAATAATTTTCATACGTCATTGCTAATAGCCTCATGGGCAACGCACTGACATTTAGCACTGTTGCGCTTTGGGCGTCCCGAGTTTGAGTCCTGGCTCCTGGACCTTTCCCGATCCCATCCCTCCTCTCTCTTACTTTGCTTCCTGTCAACTAACTGTCCTATCATAATAAAGGCAAAAATAAAATGAACAAAATATTACATAAATATTGCACAATCCTGCCTGGGGCAGAGTAAGTTTTGATCGTGACTCTTATCATCAACCTCACACCCAATTCCTCAGTGAGTTAGACTTAGGTTATTCTCTCTCAGGACTGAATGGATATGTGCACATTAGAGAGGCTTGAAACAAACAACACAGAGTAACAATTAACGCATGCAGAGCGTAATAAAATCACCTGCTCCCTTTGGATCCTGCTCGGTTTCAACAGGTTCACATCAATACTTGCCATTTAAAACCAGCTAATAATTATTTGTAAGGATGCAAAATGATTCCACAGATTTTCAATTTCTAATTAGAAATGAAAAGCAGCCATTTATGCCTTTATACACTTCAGGCTAATTAAACATGTGGCAGCTGCTCATGATCTCCAGGGTCTGCAGGCGGCGGATCGTAAACACCAGGTCTCTCTCGGCCTTCCTGATCTCAGTGGATAGATGACGGGTGCAGAGGAGAACAAACAAATGAGCTGGAGTGCTTCGCAACAGAGCTGTTTTCTTTTCCTTGTTTCTGTGAAAACATCTAATAAATATTTGGCTTTCAGATTATT